TGCATCAACACATCTCAAATCCTATCACCTGATATGTTTTGTCTGTCCATCCTATTCCATCCATGGTAATATATAATTAAACATACGGCCCACCGCACACTATGCAACCTTTCTGCAATCTGATTTTCAAAGAAAATGCAATTACATAGATATAGAATTCTAACAAACATCGTCTTCACGATGCAGGTTCTAAATAAAGATAAGAATACTAACAACCAGAGTTTTATTGCATTAATGGCATCAAGTCGTAGACATCTCACACAATGTGTGACAACGCTACAATTCTGAGCCGATTTAGCCATTTTCTCCTCCAAGGAAGCTTGAATTTCATTTGAATCTAAATTTTATCAATAATGTGACCTTTCAAATCATTGATCATTGAGATAATACAAGTTTGAATATTCATATCAAATGCTATTGCAAATTCTTCAAAAATCAGGTCGTTTAAAGGCTGTCTGTACTAGTTTGGCTAAAAGGGATAAGACCACCCAGGAAGGTCACCGACAGGTGGCTATCTCATCAACTCAGCTCTCAATTCACATAAGAAACAGAGGATCATGGGGGACCAATGGTCACCGATTAGGCATTGTTTTCTATATAGAGGGAGCAAGTAGGTACAAGTAGTTAAGTGGGCCTTTAATGTGTGATGGGCTTTAAGTGCTAAGTATTTTTAATTTCAAGGAAATACACAACTCTCTACCGAGAGCAAGGAGGGCATTTACTCTGCATACAAGTAAATGAGTTAACACCCTTCTGGCATGAGGGGTCATGCAACCCACTGAAAGGTAAATGTTCATTTGTTGTCCAAGAAGACCTAGAATGATTAGACTTGATCCAAGGCTGATCTATAGCAACCTTGGTCAATACATCTCTTAACTTCTGACATTTGAATTTACATCTATTGGTTTTCTGGAGAAAGCAGGGGCAGCTAGCTAGGATCTCAGGCCAACAAATTACCATTTCTAGTTCAAACATGTGCAAAGAATCTCACTACGGGCTCATTCAGATATGAAGCGCTAAACCGCTGCAAACAAATCCGCTGCCTTTTTTCTACGTGTGAATGAATGGCAACTGTGCGCAACAAAGCTCCTAGGCGTTTTCACTAAGCACTGTTTTATAAGATACAGAAATGTGATGCGAAATACACTTTACATCATCATTCTTAAAAAACAGCTGCAGTTTTACTTTCACATCTGAACAAGGCCTTAGTGTCTTCCACCACAGACACTTAGGAGAACACTTTCATCGGTACACAGTTTAGCAAACTGATATTTTTATAATGAATGTAGAAGAGTAAGTAATAAAAAAATATCTCAAACTTCTTCTTCCATAATTTCTAATTTAGTGTGTATGAATCATTTCTGACCAAAAAGTAAACCTTGTGGACATATTTTACATTGAAGTTACAATTTGATTTGATTTGATTTGATTTATTGGTTCAGTGTATAACTTCAATGGACATTTTAGAGAAACAATATTACCATATTTGACAGAACAACTAACAAAATAGACAAACAAGCATGCTCGTTTGCATGGTGATAATTGCTCAATCTCCATTTCTAAGATTCTAGCTACTGGTTATCTTGAAGAGACTGGAGTCTTAACAAACACATGTATCTGTTACACTAAGAATAAGCTGTCTCTTATAAGTAGGCTAACCTGGTAATCGTTCATGTTTTATTCATCAAAGTAAGTTAATCGTTACAGATGTTTTTTGATGTCATTACCCTGGTGGTGTTGATGGTGATGGTTGAGAGTAAACACTATTTACTGCACAGTTCAAGGTGTTTTTGAAGCAATCTTTTATAAAATAATGTTCTTTTGAAAGTCTTCTACTTCTCCACTGGTTGAGTTGGGTATTTTTTGGATTTCCAAAAATCTGACAAATTGTGTTAGAATTTTGAAGCAAAATGATCATTCTTAAATAATGTAAAAGGGACAATGATCTCCTATTTGGTAGCTTGGATATTTTATTTGCCGTTGTCCAACAGACAAAGACACAATTTGATGTACATGCGTGCAAATATGCATTCAATTGGGATTGTGAATATTTCAATCGGTCTTTATCAGAATTTGTTGTGGTATTCTTTCAATGTAACTATTGCCCTTGAATGACAGGAGAAGAGACACAATGAATGCTACTCGTGAGAAACAAGACAAATATCATGACTGTTCTAATTCTACCACAGAATGCCCTTCCTCATTTTATCACAATGAAAATTAACCCATTTCTGTCCTAAATAAAAATTCTGACATCACAAACATATTGATCATGAGTTCTAGATTTTCATAAATGTTTTTCATACATGCACGCTAGTATTGATGTTATACGCACATCGCATACATTAAAGATGGATGGTAATGTACATTTAGACAAGAATCGGGGCGAAATTAGTGATTTTCAGTTGGAGTTTCCAGACGAAATTCTTCTGTTAACAATTTGTAAAAATTAGTCCATCAAACAAGGGCAAATTACATGCCTCAGCTAAAGATAAGGAAAAGTTGAGATAATTAAGATAAACAGTAAATAAGGAAAATGAAGAGCACAATATTATGGCAACGAGGAATAGTTAGGCTACCTGCCAAATAAAACCAAACAAAAACAAGGCATGCTTTTTATTAAAAATTGCAAGCATCATTGTACTTTTTGAGGACACCTTCCTTATTATACAAAGATTAATCTTGCATCACCAGTTGTCCATCTTAGTGCTTGTCTTTTAGCATTGACCAGTGAAAAATGCAACCAAGCTTGAATCAAGAAAAGCTATGAATAGAGAAACTTCACATATATTCAAGTGACAAAGAGGCAAGAAAACAAGACATATTTAGACCACACAGCTATGACGTCAAAAAACAACTTCTTTGCTCTCTCTCTCCTCCTCTCTCCTACATCTCTACCTCTCACGATTATTTTAAATTCAATGCCGCCTGCTCTAAATACTATTATCAGATTTTTTCTTGTTTTCTCCCTTTCCTTTAATTCACCCAATCGCTCACAAATCTTTTTATGTATTTTCCATCCCTCATCTCTGCATCATGAATAGATAAACCCACTATGGTTGACTCTTTTAGAGCAATCGATATTGATTGAGACGTCCTTATTTCTTTTCATCGTCTTAAACTTTCAGGCATAAGACATCAAATACAATACCTCCTAAATCCAAAATCTAAGCTCCTAAATATATTACCAATTTGAAGAAGACAGACAGATCTTGTTTTTCATGTGACATATAAATGAATAATCGTTACATAACTTTCAAGAACACACATCCAGCAGTAGTCTTGATGGGTTTTAAAGTTTTCTACAAATGATCTTTATCTGCCCATGAGCAGAATGTATCTCTGAAGTGGCTTATTCCTACACTTCCCCAGCTCTCTCTCTCTCTCTCTCTCTCTCTCTCTCTCTCTCTCTCTCTCTCTCTCTCTCTCTCTCTCTCTTTTTAATAAAGTTTGGAGTGAACTTGCTGGAAATATCAACAAATCCATTTGCTTTTCCAAAGAAACCCTGGACTGACTTAGCTTATGTGTTCATGATATGTTCTTGGCACCTTTCTGTCCCTCTTCATATTGTCTTAAAAATGGGGCCCTTTGAAATCTTGATCAATTCTCAGAAATTGAGATGTACTTGGCTTCTTGAAATGCGGGTTAAAACATTCACAATATCCACTGATCAATCCAGTTTTTAAACCACCTTCCGAGAATCAATATTCATCGACAAAGGAAAGCATGGTAAGCTAAAACTTCTGAAACGAATCTGAGTTCTCTATCTATCCGGATCCTGCCAATCTTTATCAATACTTGACCTGCGCTGATAAATAGGTTAACAGCTAGTACCCCTGGACGGTTTTCCTTTGTTCTCATCTCTCAGCTTCTTTCTTATACTTCAATCAATTTCTTCCACTCTCTCTTTCTCTCATGCGGTATCATCTTTCTCATTCTATATGATTACCTTCCAATTTCATCGCTTTCTCTCACTTCTGTTCCATCTTATTAATTCTCTTCCTCCTCTTCCGCTCATTTTTTCTCTCAGTTTTCATTCAATTTCTTACCCTTTTACCCATGTCTTGCCCCCTCCCACAAAATTGTTCTGCACTTAACAGTAATTTCGAATATCCTTATGGAGACCGTTGTCAAAATTTAGAAGCATATATTTTGTTATTTCTAATCTATTCTTCTGCTAAAAGATTTGGATAGATGCAATGGTCAAGCTTGAGATAGAATAGATGAATCCTGATTTGTTGTTGAACAAGAATAATTGACAACACAGCAATATTCTCTAAAGTATTTTTGAAATATAATCTCTTTTTGAAAAGGCAATAAAAGTCTCTGCTTCTCATTCAGTCTGATTGTGACTGTGTTCATTTCTCAAGATGCACCTCTCTTTGCATCTCTCCTGCACCTCTTTTCCTTTTTTTTTTCCTTCTCTCTTCCGCCCCCCCCCCCCCCCACCTTCCCACTCTCTCTACCCATTTATCCCAACTACCACCCCAATTCTACATTCTACCCACTATTGTCCAGTAAGCTACACAAATTTAGCTTGGTGGTCTACAAAATAAATGATACTCACCTCGGCAAGAGGGGGCAGTATTGCAAAATGTTATGAACATAGGAACACAAATTTAGCTCGGTAGTCTACAAAATAAATGATACTCACCTCGGCAAGAGAGGGCACTATTGCAAAATGTTATGAACATAGGAACACAAATTTAGCTCGGTGGTCTACAAAATAAATGATACTCACCTCGGCAAGAGAGGGCAGTATTGCAAAATGTTATGAACATAGGAACACAAATTTAGCTCGGTGGTCTACAAAATAAATGATACTCACCTCAGCAAGAGAGGGCAGTATTGCAAAATGTTATGAACATAGGTTGATGTTCTTGTTTGCAAGTTTAGTTAAATTGTGATGAGTGATGGCAGAGAGAGGGGTAAACCAGCTCAATCAATGAAACACACACACAAAAAAAGACTGCATTGTGATTAAATAAGATGGAACATACCTGTGCAGGTCCGTTGTTGAATGTGACACGTCTTTTTGCTTTAGTTTTTGGTGTTGATTCGACCTCATCTGTATCTGACAAGCCTTGGATCTGTATCTGGTATGACTGCAGAGAAAAACATAAAGAAATATTCAGTTAGATGGGCTGTATCATGACATAGTACTCATTTTTACAAAGTGGTAAAGAAGAGAATAATTAGAATATGATTATGAACAGAAATTATGAGATTGCAGAAAAAAGGAGATTTTTTTAAGAGAGAAGAAAAACTAGATGGAACTTCGACTGCGTGCAGTCGAAAATGATGCCTCCGTCATAGAGCAATTTTACAAACCAAAACAGAAGAAATTTTTCGAATTCAAGTTCAATTGTAATCCATTAACAGGTTTTCAGAATATTGTGATTACAAGCTATTTTTGCATACATAATGAGCCCATGACCTTTGACCTTATGAACCAAGAATCTACTCAGTTCATTGGCTCTGCAAGAAACATACATGACCTAAGTTGGCAGGAATCCATCAATCGGTTCTTGAGATAACGCGATCACGAGCTGTTTTTGCATACATAATGTGCCCTGTGGCCTTTGAACTTTGACCTTGTGACCCCTACATCTAATCAGTTTATCGGCTCTGCAAGTAACATACATGACCTAAGTTTGGCAGCAATCCATCAATCGGTTCTTCAGATAACGCGATCACAAGCTCATTTTGCATACATAATGAGCCCTGTGGCCTTTGACCTTTGACCTTGTGACCCCTACATCTAATCAGTTCATCGGCTCTGCAAGTAACATACATGACCTAAGTTTGGCAGCAATCCATCAATCGGTTCTTCAGATAACGCGATCACAAGCTCATTTTGCATACATAATGAGCCCTGTGGCCTTTGACCTTTGACCTCGTGACCTCAAAATCTAATCAGTTTTTCGGCTTTGCAAGTAACATACATGACCTAAGTTTGGCAGCAATCCATCAATCGGTTCTTCAGATAATGCGATCACGAGCTCGTTTTGCATACATAATGAGCCCTGGGACCTTTGACCTTTGACCTCGTGACCCCAAAATCTAATCAGTTCATCAGCTCTACAAGATACATACATGACCAAAGTTTGGCAGGAATCCATCAACCAGTTCTTCAGATAACGCGATCACGAGCTCGTTTTGCATACATAATGAGCCCTGTGACCTTTGACCTTTGACCTCGTAACCCCAAAATCTAATCAGTTCATCGGCTCTACAAGATACATACATGACCAAAGTTTGGCAGGAATCCATCAACCAGTTCTTCAGATAACGCGATCACGAGAACGGGACGTACGTACGTACAGACGTACGTACGTACGTACGTACGGACGTACGGACGGACGGACAACCCGAAAACATAATGCCTCCGGCTACTTCGTAACGGAGGCATAAAAACATGATTATAGAATTCATAATCCTGAAGACATTTCTGCAAACACTACCCAGCACATTATGATTACACACAAACAAATGGAAGAAGTAAGTTGTAAGAAGTTTATTTGATGAATTGCATTCTTTGGCCAAAATATTTGAATACGAAAACAAAACACAAAAACTGAGTATTATTTGTTTTCAGTTTGCCTGCCACGAGTATGTGGTTGAATTTTTATGATCCTGAATGGAGTGATGCACAGTCTTGAATAAATAGTGAAACCTGTAAATAAACACTGCTCAAGGGAAACATAAAAAGGTTTTTTTAAAGACAGGTGGTCTTTCAATACGTACAGGTTCCTTCAGTACAGGTTTCAATATATTCAAGGGAAGTTAAACAAAAACAGTCTTTATAGACAAGTGATCTAGCTATACAGGTGGTTGCTAAGGCAGGTTTGACTGTAAATACTGTTTACAATAAAATTACACATCTATACAATACGTAATTAGAGTTAGGAATAATTTTTTTCTTTTTTGCTGTTCTCAGATGACTTGCTTTTCCCTTGCGTGATGAGATCCCATGATGCGACTACCAGCAGTATAAGCTATTCCCATAGATGGCCCTTCCTGGCAATGTCGATGAAAGATGCATCAAGTCAAAGTCTGTTTGCTGCCATCTCATGGCAATAGTCTCATAAGTTATTGTGGTACCCCAAAACAATTATTGCATCAAGAGTGTAAAATTCAATTTGCAAACTCAATAAATACAGCTGCCAGATTTTCAGTTTACATGTACTTCAACTTAGATTGAGGACATAGAGATATTTTTTCTGAAAAAATGATTATATGAAATTAACATAGTGTTTCATTGTTAGCAACACTGATAAAAGAGAACATTTTCTCAAAGTTACAATACTGATATTTAGTTGCACCTTATCAAATGATTTACATTAATTAAGATAAAGAACTGTACTTAGATATTTGACACAGTTTATGAACTGATACAAAACTCAATTAAATAATGGAATTTTTCATATTTTAGTTACAACAAAAACATTTTATTCACACAAGGGTTTGTAAATTATTTTCCCTGCAGGTGAATTCCTAAAAAGGATTTGTTAAAAATGTGCTTTGTTAAATAAGCATGCTTATTGTGCATATATCCCAGGTTAACTTTATTTGAAAAAAGTGCTAATGCCCTGGGACTATGTGTAACTAATTCCCAGTAATTCTCACATGGCAGATGAAAGCCAACTTAGACCTACATTTTAAGCCAATCATAGACCTAGAATTCAATATGTGATATTAATTCATTAATGTTATTGTTATAGTTCAAGTGATTACAATCAAAGAGGGAGAGTTGGACATGTATGCTTAAAAAACATTTTTTTTCTCACCCACCATGTCTGTTCATGGCTTATCACATGTCAGTAATCGGTAACGGATCATGTGGCCTGTAGAATGTCAGGAGAAGTCAGTGGCTTTGAATACAATTAGTGTCATTACTACCAAGGGAAGCCCCTCTAAAACCAATCTAAAGAGACTACAGTCTACTTTCCAAGACCTTGGTCTGAAATCAACACAGATGTTTTCTTCTACAGATCAAACTGAAGACCTATAATTTTTCTCTATTTCATTAGCTCATTAAATTAAATTGAAATTCAAGCCTTTTTTAATCATTTTTAATAACAATTCTTTTAAACTAAATCTTTCACTCACAAAGGTAAAAGACAATTAGGACAGTAGTGTAGACAATTTTTGTTATAGTGTTGGATAAACCAAGCAGACATTTCAGGAATTATTAGAATACAACAGGTCAATGACACTATACATGTACAGTAGGTAGGGTTAGACAATTATTTAATTACCCTCTCCATTAATTTAATTACTTGACTAATTAGACAAATATTTAACTCTGGAAGAGAAGTGTTACTGATTTATCAAGATGGAGGATAAGCAGGATGGATAGGGGGATTAACAATTTTTGTTTTAAAGAATGCAGCCCTGGGATTAAGATGACTCATTTCCACTATTGTCCTATATTGTTTTCTTCCAATAAATATCCATGCTTTGTTTTTAAAGATACTGCATCTGTTATCTACTTTTTGCCAATGTTCCTCCCTCCCTCCCTCTATCAGATCACCGCAAAAAGACCAGGGGGTGTTTCACAAAGATCTTAAGATGAACTTATGGAGTTGGACTTAACAATTATGGAAAGCTGTTAACATCTATGAGAATATTTTGCATAAAGTTGTTTTAAAAGGCATAAAATGTTGATTTAAACCATTCTTATTTTCTATTATCAAGGAGATTTCATGTTCTTGATGTGGAATTTATAAAAATTCTAAAATACTTGATTTTTCGCTTTTGAATATATATTATTTTAAGGCTACAAATGGCTCTCCATAATTTTTAAGTCCAACTTAGAGTTAAGTTCGACTTAGGATCTTTGAGAAACACCCCAGTAGTGTTATTGGCAATTCATAGCGCTTACAGCCTTCTAGCAGGCAAGCACTCAAGCTTTGACTACAAAATTTGTTCCAAACATTGTATCCCAGTCACGTTGCATAGTATGTAAACATTTCTTTCTCTATGAGAATATTAGGTTTCCTGAAGACATTTCAATCACTGCTCTAACATTTGATTAATTACACTGTTTGTAGTGAACCTCATAATGTGACTGATCAATCAGTCAGAGTCTACACCGTTTGTTTTGTGAGTGGGAGTATAATGAATTCATGTTGAAAGGAAAGAAATGTCACATGACCTGACTTCAAAGTGCTCACCCTTTCATACCCTTACTATAAGTACACCTGATACATCACTGTAGTTGAAAGATCAGAAGTTCATCAGCTACGACAAAATAAAAGGAGAGCAGATCTTTAAGAAAGTCCTTTCATGACTGATGTTCAAGTTCAATGTAATGTATTTCAATTCATACTATTTGGCTGAATAAGGAAATTAAAGAGCCTGGGCACAAAATAAACAAAAACAAAAACATCAGAAAACCACAATAATAATCTTGTATTTCTGCACTGTTCTATTTCATCGAATTGATTACATCCAATAATTGCTTTATGAAGAAAAGAAGTTTGTGTCTTCCAATAAAATCAAAGCAAAAATGGTACCCAAATTGAGAATCCCTGATACAAACATTGTCTACAGCAAGCGGGTTGTCTAGATGTTAGAAGGGAATGAGAGGATAAAAAACGTATATAGCACCTTTGAAGTAATTCAAAACAATAATTATTCCTTCACCTTAAACTTGATTTATTAGCAAGATCTGACCTCACTATGATTCTAATGATTTATAGTCAGTTGAGTGTGGAAGATTATCAATAAGGAATATATATATACGTCAATGATAAAGTCTAATAAATCATTTATTAATGACACAATCATATTTCAATGCCATATGAAGACTCATTTATACCTCTTTATAGCTTATACCTAGAGACATATTATAGGAGAAGAACTCAATCAATTGGTTTGATTTTCAGTCTCACCATCTTCATAGCTCAATGGATAAAGCAATGGTCTAAAGAAGAAATCTATATTCTGAGTATTAGAGATAATGACCAACTTGTATTATGATACAATGAGAGCCAGAAAGGTGTTAGCTCAATGTATTAATCTCTTAATACCCTTCTGGCTCTCTCAGCATATGATATGAGTTTAATGCAGTCTAGCATAATAGTTACATGACATGTAC